AAAATAAAATAAAATAAAATAAAATAAAATAAAATAAAATAAAATAATAAATAAAGAATAAAGAATAAAGAAGAATACAGAGAAGGTGTGCTTCGGGGATTCCTTGCATGGCCTGGCTCAGCCCATTTTTGCCAGAGATCATTTACAAGTGCGACAATGTTGTTTCTGTCCCATAACTGGACCTGAAGCCTGACTGGAGGGCATCTATATAATCTATTTCATCCAGCACCTTCTGAAGCTGCAATGGACAGAAACAATCCAGATTGGTGGGATCAAGAGGGGCCAAACCAGGGCCTCCTTAGAAGGTAATGTCTCCACCTGAAGGGAAGAGTTTATCACTGCCTGAACCCACCAGGTTGTCACCGTACTAGAGATCTTTACCAGCCACAGGCATGGAATTGAGAGGTGGTTTACACTGAAAATATCAAGGACTTTATGCACTGCATCAGGCCCAATGGGATCAGACTGTTCCCAGACAACTAGATCAGACTTTTCCCCCACGCATCTCTTACGGACATGCGCCATACAAGAGTTCCAACTGGGAATGAATGAGAATGACTTTGTCTGGTCTACAAACACCCCTGGGTGGCCCTGAATGTCATTATCTGAGCTCTTCTGTCCCAGGAGAGACCAGGTGATCCTGAAGCCTGGCAACATTCTACAGATGCAATAAGGATGGTGAAATAATAGTGTTTTACCACTATAGTGTTTTACCACTATAGTGTTTTACCACTCCATGAGGTAGCCCTAAATTGTGTCTGGTTCTATTCACCCTTTGTTTTCCTCCAGCAAAACTCTAGGCTCCTCTTGGCCCTTTTCAGAATCTGCAGCTCCTCTGTGAACTACAGGGGAGTGTTAGAAGTGAGATGAGTCAAGAGAGGCCACACAGGCTTGACCCTACCCAAAGCCTTGGTTCTAGGATGTAACCAGAGCTTCAGCAAGACTGTGCAGCAAGGGACATCCCTCAGTTCCCTCTTGAACCTATTTTGGGTCCATCAGTCATCAGGGTGAACTGCTTAAATGGGCCCAGCCTCCCTGCCAAAGGGAAGCGGCATACGAGAATATCAAGGACACCAGAGCCATTACAAGGCAGATGACAAAAGATTCCCCCACCAGTTGTCATCGCTTGGACAAGAAGATCTTATGTGGCTTGTGATCACTGTCTGAAGTCAGGAGCAAGATGATTTGGGATAGGCATATGGCCTACATGGTGGCCATGAATGCTTGGACCATTTCTGAGGCCAAACCCAGAAATGACAGATTAAAATCCCCCAGGACCATAAGCCTGGGGAACTCCAATGCCAATCCTGAGATGGTCTCCAGCAGCTCAGGCAAAGAGGTAGTCATGCAGCAACAGGGAGATTGGTACGGTGGCAACAATCCTGGCTGATCCAATGAGCCTAGAAACATGGTTAATTGTCCATCCTTTCACTAAACCTACCAAGATATGGGAATATACCTTTGGAACTACATAGATGTTTTTTAAAAAATCTGCTTCTTTCCCCCTTAATATTCCATTTTTATTTCCCAATAAAGTGGCAGAATTTTAAGGAAAAAGCAAAATTATTAATGGCGGGGGAGTTGAATATGAAAATAATTATCTGAATTGAGGAATAGAAAAAAGCGGATGGCGACAAAGTGATATTTATTTTATTTTATTGTAAATTTTTCTTCCCATTTCTGATTTACTTCACAGCTGGCCAAGAAATATGGAAATATGTACACATTGTGGTTGGGGAATCAATCTGTAGTGGTGCTGTCTGGATTCAAAGCTGTAAAAGAAGGTTTGGTTGGATATGGAGAAGAATTTAGTGGTCGGGCTGTAAGTGCTTTCTTTTCATCTCAAGGAAAAGGAAGGGGTAAGTTGCAGAAAGTAAGGAATTACAGCGTTCTGTTTATGCCAATCCTACTAGAAAGGCTGCAGGAATTTGATATGTCTAGTCTAGTAAAAAGAAGGACTAGGGTTGATATAACAGTGGTGTCCAATATTTGAGGGGCTACCACAAAGATGAGGGGAATAATCTATTTTTTAAAGCACCAGAATGCAAGCAAGAAACAATGAATGGAAATTAGTCAAGGAGAGAAGGAGAAATTTCCTAACAATGAGAACAATCAACCAGCGGAATGGCTTGCCTTCAAAAGTTATGAGTGCCCCATTGCTAGGGGCTTTTAAGAAGAAACTGGACAGCCATTTGTCTCAAATGGTATAAGGTCTCTTACTTGAGCAGGGGGTTGGACTAGAAGACCTCCAACATCCCTTCCAACTCTGTTATTCTGATTCTGACAGACAAATCAGATCAGAATCAACTCCACACTAAGAGCAAAGCTATAATCTATTGAGGTGGAATAAATAATAAACTCCTGTAAATCTGATTATACTATGCTTCCCTCGTTTTTACACTTCTATTTCTGAATATTATCTTAATGATCTCATTATCTTAAAGAACTTAATGAATGTTTGCCTTATTCTTGCACAGTTCTCTCAGGGTCACTTCTATTACTGTCTATAGCCATGATGGCAAACCTATGGCACGCATGCCATAGGTGGCACACAGAACCATTTGTGCCGGCATGTGAGCCACAGGCAAACTTACCTCACTGTATATGTGCACGCCTCACAGCTGATTTTCGGCTAGTTTGAAGCCTTTTTCGGCCTCCCAGGGCTTGAAAAAAGCCTCTGCAGGCCGAATAGGCCCATTTCACCACTTCCTGTAATACCGGTAGTGACAAAACGGGCCTATTCAGCCTGCAGGGGCTTTTTTCAAGGCACAGTGCAGGTAAGGGGGTGGGGGGGCACGGCAGGGGTGTGGGAGGGATTGCACATACATGCACGGGGGGGGGGGAGCGCATTACCTTCTTGGTGCTGACATGTGAGCACATGCGGACCAGCGCACACAAAATTTTTGGCACAGGAGCCCAAAAAGGTTAGCCACCACTGGTCTATAGTTTGTCAGAGTTTTACTAGGCTCCCATAAAAGAAAGTGAACTGTCTCACTGTAAGTGGAAACGTGCCTCCTCCACTCCCCAGAAAATTCTAGAATGGCAATTGTGTGAATTCCCCAGCTTTGTCAGTAGGTACCACAATTACTAGCAGGTAATTTTTATTACAGTCACCCCAATTACTAAATGTAAAACTTTCTTTCAATTTATTGATTTTAACTTATTGGTGGTATTCTCTCAACATGTTTTGCCTGGTTATTAAATTCGCCCATTTTCCAGCTTCACACAATATCTTGAACCAGAAACTAAAGAAATTATTATAAGCTAGATACAGTATGTACACATACACAAACAGCTGACTAAATACCAAACAAGCCTATTATGTGTAAATGAAACTGCTTGCTTATTTGATGAAATGGATTATAGCTGTAATGATTTAGGTGTTGTCTAATCTGGCTCTTTTACAATGAATAAACCATGCCTAATCATCTAGAGGAAATGTAGGTGGATCTGAGAAAGAAAAACAAAGATTAACAAGAGTTTGCAAGGTTTGTTGAAAGAAAAGAAACAGGCAAGCCAACTCTATGGCATAGTGACAGATAAATTACTTTGTGTGGATTGTTGCCTAATCTAAACTTAAGCCAGTTTAACAAATCTGTTTCCAGTAGGCAACAAGATGAGTAACAGCAAGTATTTTGTTTGTTTCTTGCTTTGAGGGCTTAAAAACAAGAACATTTGTCTGTAGTCGTTTCTGGTCATAATTATTTCTGCAACTGTCTGAATATGGAGTACATATTGTCCTCTTTATCTTAATTCTTACTGTTCTATCGCCAGAACAAAATAGACTCGAGACCGGAGTTGAGTTCAGCTCTTTATTTAACTGTCAGTAACTTCAACTAAAGTCGAGCCGCGGCAGCCCCTTTTATAGCGGCTGCTCGCGGCTTGCAACTAATGGCATTTATTTAAAACTCCCGCCGCTTAGGCAGCCAATCAGAACTGTTGTTATCTACCAATCGCTAGGCGGCAGTATCAGTCCAATAGGAATGCAGTATTACGAGTATGCAAAACAAGTATACAACACTTACAAATGACAAATCAGATAAACTTAAAAAATGAGTGATAATGTAATAATAAGATATGTGCTGTAATGCTTATTAGGTAACTCTAGAGTTTGGAATTGAAGGAATTTGTAGAGACAAAATCACAGAATCACAGGGCTGGAGATCTTCTAGTCTACCCCCAGCCCTTATATCATTCCACACAAATGGTTGTCCAATCTTTTCTTGACGGTGCAACTACAATTCCAGGAAACAAGTTATTCGATTCGTTAATCGCTCTTCCTGTCAGGAAGTTTCCCCTTAGTTCCAGGTTGGATCTTCCCTAAATCAAGGGCTTCCTATATAATCTAACATGTATTGAACATTTTAGCATTAATGTCTCTTTCCCATTGTCTGGGCAAAATAGAAAGTCTAATTCTTTTTTCCATTCAGTTATTATTCAGCACTAATACAACGTTATAAAGACAAAAATTGTAGGTTATATTACATCAAAACCTTTAGCAATTGCACTATGTGCTTCTGAGAATGAAAAAGTAATACGTACGTTCCAACTAGTTATCAATAGATGCAATTGCAAATGCTGACTCTGAGTTACATCAGACAAATATGTGACTGGAAAAGGATAGCAAAGGTATCATTTTCATCTATTAATGGATCTAAAATATAAACATTGCTTACACCTACCTTTTCCCTAATAATAAATTTTAATTCAGAGAACTGGATCATCCAAGAGTATTAACTTGATCATTTCATTTATCAAGTTAATGTTGACTCTTAGTGACCATATAGATTTCCTCTAGGGAAGTATCAACTTAGTTTGACAAAAACCAATGGATTCTCTGTGGCCTTATTTAATACCAAGATATTAGTTAATAATAGAAAGATAAATCTATGACCTCGAAGACCTGCTATTATTGCATCTTCTAAAAGAGTTGTCTGTACATGCAGATTAGGCATGGGTGATTATAGCAAAATATGGTTATCTTTTACTTATATACGTACATCTATGTAAGTGTCATGGTGGTGCAGTAGTTAGAATACAATATTCCAGGCTAATTCTGTTGATCACCAGCAGTTCGATCTTGACCAGCTCAAGGTTGACTCAGCCTTCCATCCTACCAAAATCAGTAACATAAAGATCCAGATTGTTGGGAGCAATGTGCTGACTCTATAAACCACTTGGCTGTAAAGCCCTATGAAGTGATATATAAAACTAAGGCATCTAAGGTATCAAACTCATGTCATCACATGATGATGTATCGGGACTTTTTCCCCCTTCACTAAACTGGCATGGTGCATCTGGCCCATGGCCTGGGAGTTTGACAGCCCTAGTCTAAGATCTATTGCTATTATATAAGCATATATGATCTGCCATAAGGATGTTTTCTTCTACAATGCTAATTTGTCCTTTTTTTAAAAAAATGAACAAAAATGAATGGAGTCATTCAATATTTCTCCTTGATTTATTTTGTATACAGGTATTGTGTTTGCAAATGGTCACATCTGGAAGAAGCAGCGACAGATTGGTAATACTTCTTTGCGGTTGTTTGGACCAGGGAATAAAAAGATTGAGCATCATATTAAAGAGGAAGCCCAGCAACTTATAGAAATCTTTACACGTACGCAAGGTAGGTAACATTACCAAGGAGAGAGCTCAGGGGGTAACTAAGGTTTATTGGGTCTCTGTCAAATAAAGTAAGATTGACTCCATAAAGCATAGCCAGTAAGAAGAGCTGGCACAGAGGGCAATAATAACAGAAACAACTAAACCAAAGAATTTGTTTTGTTTTGTTTTGCACTTTTAAATGTAATCTTAGTCCCAGAGAATGAATAGTGAACAATCATAATAAGTGACCCATCAGTGTAAGAAGCCAAGCCAAATCTATAAAATGGAAGCAGAGTTGCAACTAACGCTTGAACAATTACTAATTCCTGAAGCAACACTGATGATATCACCTAGTTTGGGTAATGAAATATCTGCAAGAAAACAACCAAGCTCAGAGAGCACCGTGAACCTTTCTTTCTTTCTTTCTTTTTTCCATATGGTGATAATCTTTATCCTATAGAGTTGTTAGTCTTGCTTAGGGCAAATCCATATCTCTTTGAAACAGTGTCCCACTAATTGTTATTTGAACTTATGCCTCCTTTTGCATTTATGTTTTCTCACTGCTGAGGTTTAAAATAGTGTTTTTCCTATTATTCTGACCCAAGATACTATGTGCAAGAAAAGAGGGGTGTGTTGATGTATATTGGGGAAGAGGCCTGAAAGGGGATGCAACTTGTTCTGTTGATTTACCAGTTCCTTTAGTCTGATCCAATAATTTTTATCCATCCCTGCCCCACACTTCACACTAGAATAACAGAATTGGAAGGGCCTTTGGAGGTCTTCTAGTCCAACCCCCTGCTTAGGCAGGAAACCCTATACTATTTCAGACAAATGGTTGTCCAACATTTTTTTTAAAACTTCCAGTGTTGGAACATTCACAACTTCTGGAGGCAAGTTGTTCCACTGATTAATTGTCAGGAAATTTCTCCTTAGTTCTAGGTTGCTTCTCTCCTTGATTGATTTCCATCCATTGCTTCTTATCCTGCCCGTGTTGGTCTTAGGGAACTGTCAGCTTCCACATTCATTCTCACTGCTAAACTGTTTCTGAAATCCAGCTCCTCGGGTGTCTATGGAGATTCTCAATTATCCAGGTCATGGTTGTCCCCAAAATGCTTTTCTTGGAGAAAGTCCCATTGCCTTTTGGAAAAGCACTTTTTATCCACTCCTTTAGTAGCACTTTTCCACTGGCTGCATCTGGTTGTACAAAGCTGGTTGACCATTAGAAGGCAACCATGGCCTCTGTAGAGAACTGCCTTGCAGCTCTTAAAGTAACCCATTCTTTGCTTGGAGTGATGTGTCACAGGAATGAAGATCTATAGTGTTCCTCTAAAGAATATTCTAAGCCTTAGTAGAGCTATGTTCCATCTGGTCGGTTAATACTTCCTGGGAAGTAATGTATGATTGGATCCATGCAGTGGTAATCAGTTGTTTAAAGCTATAAAATTCAATGATTCTCAACA